TTGCTAGACTCCCAAACGGTCAGCTGCGATTCAAGTCCCAGACATGGTGGCTTGAAACTCACACTCGGTATGTGTGCGTGTGTGCCCAAGATCCAGGGAAGAGAATGAAGGAGAAGGGATGGCAGCATGGCCATACCCCTTCTGGGGTATGATTTCTCACTTTCCCCTCTTGCTGTCTCTGTCTCTTTCTCTCCAGCGAGTCCATGTGCCCTGAGGCAAAAACCTCTTTAATTAATTAATTTAATTAACATAATACCACTCATTCTACTGGCCAAATTAAGTCACAAGGCCAGTTCATATTCAAGAGATGAAAATAATGTCGTGTCTCCCTCTTGATAAAAGGAGCTGGATGCGAGATGAAGTGCAATGATTTTGCAGTCAACCTAGCACAGGTCTCACTTGCTTTTTCCCATTGTTTACTGGGCACTGCCTGTTTCACCCTCGCTTTCTAAACCACTTCACTTCTCTAAAGAAGAATTGTATCCATTCCAAAACCGACTGCCAATGGGGGTAAAGCCTGTTAATCCACACAGATCGTCTTCTCTGAGTCCGTACGACTTTTCTCCAATCACTATCACTAAGATTGTTAAAAAGGAACCTTACCACAGACGCACTGGCCAGCTGGAACAGCCAGGCCAGCTTGTAACGGCTCTCTTTAATGATACGGCTTGTTCATTCAACAGATAATTGGTTATCATCTCCTGTGTGGCAGACCCTGGCCTAGAGGTTAGAGAGACAGTCAGTGGTGAACAAAACAGTCCAGACACCTACTCGACTATGTTATAGTTACATGTCATAACACAGCTGGCATTGTAGAGAGGAGGCCATACAGGCGAGAAGGCAATTAAGAGAGAAAAGCGTTTCAGCTAGTGACTGGAGGAGAGTTCACGCAGTGGGGTGATAGAGAATCGCTGGATTGGGAGCACTCACTTAAATCTGATTGGTCAGTCGGGAAAACCTCTCAGATGGATAACTGAATGTTAAGGAGGAGTTCACCATGTAAGGGTCTGGGGAGAGAATGTCCAGGAAGAGAATAAGGCCAGAGGCCAGAGGCAGGGATGAGTTTGGTCTGTCCAGCAACAGAAAAGTTATGAAGAAAAGTTTTCTCACCAAATAATAGAGGATCAAGCTGTGCAACTTCTTCTTCTTCGTTTTTTTTTTTTTTTTTTTTCTTTTTTTGGAGAGGTGTTTTTTTGTTTTTTGTTTTGTTTTGGTTTTTGGTTTTTGGGGTTTTTTTTTTGCTATAGGGTGCCTGCACTCACCAGAAAGACAGAGAGACAGAGAGACAGAAAGTGAGAAATCACCCCACAGGGAGGATGACCACACCACAATCCCTTCTCCTCCATTCTCCTCTTGGGATCTTTGGCACACACGCTCATGTGCCTGGTGTGACTTTAAGCCACCGGGTCCGAGATTTGAACCGCAGTTGACTACATGGGAGTTCAACGACATAGCCATTACACTAACTGCTGGTCCCCTTCTTTCTTCTTCTTTTTTTTTTTTTTAAGAATTATTTATTTGGGACTAGCAGATGGCATAATGATTATGTCACTGGACTCCTACATAGTCAAACATAGTTCAAGTCCCGGACCTGGTGACTTAAAACACACCAGGTGTGTGTGCGTTTGTGCCCAAGATCTTGAGAGGAGAATGGAAGAAAAGGGATTGCAGCAGCATGACCATCCTCACTGAGGGATGATTTCTCACTTTCTGTCTCTCTCTGTCTCTCTGATGAGTGTATTTGCCCTATAGCAAAAATCTCCCTTAAATATTATTATTCATGGGGACCAGCAGTTAGTGTAACAGCTATGTCACTGAACTCCCATGTAGTTGACCGTGTTTGAGTCCCAGCCCCAGTGGCTTAAACTCACACCAGGTACGTGTGCGTGTGTGCCCAGGAACCCAAGAGGAGAATGGAGGAGAAGGAATTGCGGCATGGCCATCCCCCCTGGGGGGGGATTTCTAGCTTTCTATCTCTCTGTCTCTCTCTCTGTCTTTCTGGCAAATGCACGCACCCTATAGCAAAACCTCTCAAAAAAAGAAAAAAATTATTATTCATGTATTAATTTTATTTATTGTTATTATTTTTTTACTTTAACCAGAGAGAGAAAGGGAAAGTGAGAAGGCAAGCCACCAGGTCTGGGACTCGAACTGAGGTTAGCCATGTGGGAGTCCAGCACCCTAACCACCATGCCACATGTCAGCCCCAAGGTGTACAACTTCTGGAGTCCTCATCTGAAAGTAAATAAGAGTATGCACCAAAACAGGAGTACTTCTGGCTTTCAACTTTTTTCACCCACCTTTCCAGCCTCACATCCAAAAAGGAGGCTTATTTTGGGAAAAGAGGGTAATTTGCATTTTAATTTTTTGTAGGCATTTTCAAATGGTATACCTGGCTTCCTAGTACCAGTTTTATTGAGCTATAATTATAGACCATAAAAATCCAACTCTTTGAAGTATATAATTTAGTGATTTTTGTTGGTATATTCACATAACTATTACCACTATCTAATTCCAGAATGTTTTCATCAGTCCAAAAAGAAATCTTGAGTTAAGCAAGATTGCAGGATACAAAATCAATATACAAAAATCAGTTGTATTTCTATGCACCAGCAATGAACAATCTAAAAATGAAATTAAAAAAAAAATTCATAAAGGCATCAAAAATAATAAAACACTTAGAAGTAAATTTAACAAATTAAGTGTAAAACTTGTACACTAAAAACTATAGGGCCAGCTGGAGATGCAGAGATTAAAGAAGCTGGATCCCACATGGCCAATTGCATGTTTCGGGTCCTGGATACACTGGTTTGAAAAACATGCAGGCGCATGTAAACGCATGCCCAAAATCCTGACAGGAGAATAGAAGAGAAGGGATTGTAGCATTGCTATTCCCCTGGGGGGTGCTTTTTCACTTTCTCTCTCTCTCTGTCTCCCTCCCTGAAGAGTGATGCACCCTCTGGAGAATTAAAAAAACAAACCAACCTAAAAAAAAAAAATCTCATTGAATGAAATTAAAGAAGACCTTAAAAAATGCAAAGAAATTTTGTATTCATGGAATAGAAAATTCAGTGTTAAGATGATGTATGAGGGGACCAACAGTTGGCATAATGGCTATGTCACTGGATTCCCAAGTAGCCGACCGTGGTTCAACTCCCAGACCCAGTGGCTCAAACTCACACTGGGTGCGTGTGCGTGCGTGCTCAAGATCCCCAGAGGAAAATGGAGGAGAAGGGATTGTGATGTGGCCATCATCCCTGGGAGTGATTTCTCACTTTCTATCTCTCTGTCTCTCTGATAAGTGCACATGCCCAATAGGAAACACTTCTTAAAACAAAACAAACAAAAACTAAGGACTTAAATGGCTAATGCTCAGGGCAAACAGGTGGCATGGTGGTTAAGGCACTGAACTCCTGCATTGCTGACAGCAGTTTGAGTCCCTCACTCTCCCTCTCTTTCTTTCTCTGTCTCTCTCTGGTGAGTGCATGTGCCCTATAACAAATTTAAAAATAATAATAATAACAAATAAAATTAAATAAATGATTATTTTTTAAGAATAAATAAATAACTTTTTCTCCAAAGAAGATATGGAAATAGTCACTTAGCCAATAATGATGTTCAACATCATTAGCCTTCGGGAAAATGCAAATCAAAATTATAAAGAGTTGTTACATCTACTAAGGTGGCTATAAAATTTTTTAAACTTATTTATTATAATTATTATTTTAGTTTGAAAGTGTGCATATGCTCACTAGATAAGAGAGACAGAGAAAGAGAAGCGAGAAAGCCTCCCCGGGGGAAATGGTCACACCGCAGTTCCTTCTCCTCCATTTTCCTCTTGAGATTTTGGGCATGCACACACAGGTGCTTAGAGTATTTTTCAAGCCACCGGATCTGGGACTTGAACCGCACAGCTGACCATGTGAGATCCTTAACTTCCACCTTAACCTCCACACCACCTACTGGCCTGGCTACAATAATTTTTTTAAATGAAAAATAACAAGAGTTGGCAAGGATGTGGAGAAATTGAAACCCTCATATATCGCCGGTAAGTGTGTTGGAGCCAGGCAGGACCAGCAGGTTGCATGGTGGTTAAGACTCTGGACACTCTCACATGGCCAACCACAGTTTGAGTCCCAGACCTGGTGGTTTGCTTTCTCAATTTCTTTGTCTCTGTCTCTCTCTGGTCAAATTAAAATAAATGAATGAATAAATAAAATTCAATAAATATATATTTTTTTAAAAAAAGAGTGTTGGGGCCAGCAGGTGGCATGGTGGTTAAGAACGCTAGACTCCCACATGGTTGACTGCAGTTCGAGTCCTGTGCCTGCCAGCTTGCTTTCTCACTTTCCATCTCTCTTTCTCTCTTTCTCACTCTGTCCCTCTCTGGTCAAATCAAAACTAATTAATTAATTAAAGTTCAATAAAATAGTTCTTTTTTTAAAAAAAGAGTGTCAGACAGAGCTTGCTATGCAGCCATTGTGGAAAACAGTTTGGAAAAAAAATAAACATAGTTACTTCATTCCCAGCAGTTCTACCCTTGAGTATATACCAAGAAAATTAAAAACATGTTACAGAAAAGTTTGTACACAGATGTTCACAGCAGAGTTCTTCATCATAGCCAGAAAGCGGAAACAACCAAAATGTCCATCAAGTAGAAGCAAAAAAATAAAATGTGATTTGTACACAGAATGAAATTTGATCAGCCATAAGGACTGAAGTATTGCTACATTCCAAGTTTACAAAGAACAACTATTAAAAAAGGCTGAGGTTGGGGCCAGCAAGTGGCACAGTGGGTAAGGCGCTGGACTCCCACATGGCCAACCACAGTTTGAGTCCCAGACCTAGTGGCTTGCTTTCTCACTTTCTCTTCCTCTCTCTCTGTCTCTCTCTAGTCAAATAAAAATAATAATAATAATAATAATGACAATAACTCTGTTAAAAATGCTGAGGTTTTTGTTATCTTCGAAGCAAATATATATATATATGCTTATTTGCAGGTTTCAGAGAAAACCCATCAATGGAAGCTTTGATTCCACTGACGGTAAGTAAAATTCCTGGTTTCAATTCAAAATGATGTCAGATAGGATGACAACATCCCATTTGATGCTTCTTTTGTCTCTCTGTCTTTTACAATTTACAAACTCCCCCTTGGTTTCTATCCCACAGAATAGAGTAATCTGCGGGTTTTATTACAAAGAGAGCTAACGAGAACTAATTCCATAGTGGATCACTATTGTGATATGATGTTCATACTCCACGTCTTTACTTGGAATGTCCCTGGTAAAAATCATCCACAGCCCCTTTGTCACAGTCGTCTTTTTGAAAACTTCAGTCTTTTCTAGGACATCATTGTTCTACCTATCTTATTTCAAAGCTGGTTTGTGAATAGCAAGGATTTACCGTGTCGCCTCTAACACAGAGGCTTGTTTGTTCAAGTATGGAGAAAATTACAACAGAAAATACAACAAATAGAATAATAACTTTGAGAGACTAAGAGTAATTAAATATTCAATCTTTGAAATTTGCCCTTTCCTCCACACTGAGAGTTTGAACAAAAGAATTCAATTCCACAATCTTTTTTTAAAAAAAAATTTGTTGAAGATGAACTTGATGACAGGCACTAAACCCACAGATGGAATTTGTTTGTTTGGCTATAGGGCACATTTACTTGCCAGAGATAGAAAGGGAGAAAGAGAGGAAAAGTGAAAAATCACCCTTCAGGGAGGATGGTCCCTCCAGAATCCCCTCTCTTCCACTCTCCCCTCTGGATTTTGGGCACACATGACTGGAGCATTTTTCAAGCCACCAGGTCTGGGACTCAAATCGCTCAGTTGACCATGTGGGATCCAGCCACCTTAACCTCCATGCCTGCTGGCCAAATGTCCTCATTTAAAACATTATTTTTTTCACTTAATTTAGTTGTTTGTTTGTTTTTCTCATAGAGCATGTGCGCTCACCAGAGAGAGACAGAAAGAGATAATGAGGGTTTTCTTGTTTTTGTTTTTGTTTGTTTTGTTTTGTATTGTTTTTGCTTTTGTTTTTGTTTTTTGCTAGAGGGCACATTTGCTTGCCAGAGATAGACAGACAGAGGGAAAATGAAAACTTCACCTCCTAGGTGCATGGCCATGCTGCACTCCCTTCTCCCTCATTCTCCTCCTGGGATTTTGGGCATGGCATGAACATGTTCCCAGTTGGGTTTTTCAAGCCACCAGAACTCAGATTTGTAGTTGGCCATGTGAGAGTCCAACACCTTAACCACTGTGCCACCTACAGGACCCCCCCAATACCCTCAAGGGAAAAAATTTCAACAGACAAATGGAAAGTTATTCGTTGATGACAGTATGTGTGGTAATCGCTCTGACTAAACTAACATGCAGGGTATTCATGCTGAGAAAATTCATTTTCAATGTTGTAAAGATATATGTGATTGAATGTAAAACATAGGAATAAAATAAAATAAACCAAAAAGTAGCATGTAATTTATGGGCTCAGTGCTCATAATTTAGTAAGCATAGAATGCTGCTTTGGAGAGGACTGATGAAGTGGAACTTGATTTTTTAGGCACATGTGTTTACTTCGGTCTTTTCTGCATTTGGAGGGGTCCACAAAACCTTGGAAAGACACAAACTCCTCTGCCCATCTCCGAAGGGACATTTATCCCTTTGATGGGTGGCTTTCTTCTTTCTCTCTCTCTCTCTGTCTTATCTTTCTTAATGTGTATTTTTCTAGCCACCCAGACATTTCGCTTTAGAGCATATCCAACTGCCAGTATAAAAGACCATAAAAGAACACCTGCTCAGCGGCTTTAAAATGCAGTGTGCTACTTTCATAAGATGTTGAAATGGATGCATCTTTTCTCTGGATCTCATCTTTCTTCCTATTCCCCAGGTTTTCCTATTATTTTTGACCTAATAGAACTTAGCCCAGTTGGTTAGATCCCACTGAGTGCGCTGAGAATCAATGGTCTGTATCCTTAATTGTAAGAGAAAAGCCGTTTTAATATCCTAACAATAATTAAAGAAATCCCAAGTTCCCAAGGGTCTCCTAAACTGAAGCGTAACTGAACAGAGCTGAACTTGAGCCAGACCACTGTCTAAGATGAGGAAAGTTCTGAAAATTAGCTGAGAGAGAGAGAAGCACCCTTCCGACAGCATGTCGTAATAGTGAGCAAAAATAAAAATAACAAATAATAAAAAGAGCAAAGATAGATCATTTGTGTAGCTACAAGTAACAAAAACAACCACAAAAGAAATCTTAAAGCCACTTACACAACAAAGATATTTCTGCCCCTGAAAGTTGAACAGAAGGCTCGATTTCAGGGTTGATTCTGTCCAGGGGCTCTGGTGTGTTTCCCTCCCGTTCCCTGGGTTTTGCTTTCCTCTGGTGATGACCTGGATCAGGGCTCACACCTGCACCTGATGTCAGAGGGGAGGACTTTTTCAGGGGCCCCCAGCAACTTCTCCTGTTTCATTGGCCTAGAATAGATCGGTTCCTCGTTGTTAACGTAAGCACTGCAAAGGAGGAGTCACTGCAGTGCTGGGCACCCAAGAAGTCAGGCCTAACGTTTTCACACTAAGTATGACCAGGATGAAGAAATGGATCCAGCTCCTTGCAAGCTGCCAGTTAGGGCGCAGCTCTGCTGTGGCTAGGTGATGGTAGGCCTCACAATCTGCAGGCCACTGTGTGTTTCTTTAACATGCCTGCAGTTCTTTCATTAAATTGATTTTTTTTTAAGTTTTTGCTATAGAGTATGTGCACTCACCACAGAGAGAGAGAGAGAGAAAGAAAGAGACAGAAAGTGAGAAATCACTCCCCAGGGGGAATGGCCATGCACAATCCCTTCTCCATTCTCCTCCCGGGATCATGGGCATGTACGCACACGCCCTTCATGTGATTTTCAAGCTACTGAATCCAGGACTCAAACTGCGGCTTCAACCATGATGGATCCAGCTGCTTTAACCTCGTCACCACCTGCTGTCCCTAATTAAGTTGTTTTTGAAAATGTTAAAAATGTTAATTAAGTTGGCCCCAATTATGCTGAAAAGCACAAAGATTTCTTTCACATGTCATGGGCTGAAGGAGACAAGACCCTGGATCCTGGGAGGGTGGAAATGGTGTTGGTAAAGAGCTGCTCCAGAGGCCTGGGAGTGACCTTTCTGGAGTATGAATGGCTAGGCACTGTTCTCCAATCATCTCCTCAGGCTAAAGAGGGGCCTCTGATCAGCTAGGGGTCCTAGGAAAGGACTGTAGTCTAGAAATAGTTCCCCGTCTCTCAGAGAGGTTCCCCAGTTTCTCATCATTGTTAAAGAGCCTCCACAGGAATCCAGTTACCAACAGGAAGAGAGACTAAGGAAGCCTACCTCACAGCCCTCTGGGACCACATGAGTAGTCACTATGGACCCGGGTACAGCATCACGGGAGGCTGGTTTCTCAAGTGAGAGGGACTAACAAGCCTGACAAGTTTGTAGATTTAAGAACCAAATGCTGCGGCCGGTAGGTGGCGTGGTGGTTAAGGACACTGGACTCCCACATGGCTGACTGCGGTTCGAGTCCCGAACCTGTCGCTTGTTTTCTCACATTCCCTCTCTCTCACACACACACTCTGTCCCTCTCTGGTAAAATTGAAGTAAATAAGTAAATAAAATAAAGTTCAATAAAATAATTTAAAAAATAAAAAAGAACCAAATGGCCACCAAATCCTTCCCCAGATAAAGCCGCTACTGGACCGGCCTCTTAACAAGCAGTAGACTCGTGGGGCTGAGAGATGGCCTTGGAGAACCAGGACACAGGCTGTCATCAGTGTCTGTGACAGGAGGCCTCACGCCTAGTCCCGCCTCTCTGCTCTTGTCTTCGATTTTCTTGTCCAACTTTTTCTTAGAGGAAATTTACTTTTACATCCTTTTGCAAAACTTAACAGCTTTCTTCACTTTCTTCTCAACTTTTTTTAAGAATTATTTCAGTTAACATTATTTATTTAGTTTATTTTGACCAGAGAAGAACAGAGTAAGAGTGAGAGAGAGAGAAAAAGTGAGAAAGCAAGCCACCAGTCTGGGACTCGAACCACAGTCGGCTATGTGGGAGTCCAGCACCCTTAACCACCACGCCACTTGCCAGCCCCTCTTCTCAACTTTTGAAATAAAACACGAGACCAGTTAGGGTAGGTCCCTAATTGGCATGATAACAAATTGTCATGGCAGCTAACCCACATCATTTCTAACTCTCTACCTTCCAACCTCCTGCGTCTGCAGAGACAGAAGGGGACAGGGCCACCAGAAATCTGAAGTCCCTGAGAGATCCAGACATGCTCGAAATGAAATGAAATTAACACTTTCTCCTCATACAGGCCATCTCACATACGAAGCCAGTGTGGAGGCATAGCCTGTTCGGTGTTAGAAGTAGACAGATGGCAAAGGGATCACACTCCGAGAAAAACACACCAAAACAAATTTCCTCATTAAAATGAGATCATTCACAATCTTACATGACTGCTATTTCCAGCCAGAACATCTTGGTCTGTCCTATAAACTGATATTTTCTGTTTAATTCTGCTTTTTAAATACTATACAGTTAAATATAAATATGGCCTGCCTTCCAAGATCGTACTTAAAGTTTGGGAGGAAATGCTTCAGCTTTTGCATTTTTTTTTTAAGGTTTTTGCCACAGGATGTGTGTGCTCACTGGAGAGACAGAGAGAGAGAGAGACAGAGAGAGAGAAAGTGAGAAATCACCCCCCCAGGGAGGATGGCCACTCTACAGTCCCTTTTCCTCCATTCTTCTACTAGGATTTTGGGCACATGCACACACACTCTTGGCATGATTTTCAAGCTGCCAGGTGCGGGACTTGAACTGTGGCTGCCCACGTGGGAGTCTAGCACTTTAACCCCCATGCCTCCTGCTGGCCCTCCAGTTTTTGCATTCATAAATGGCCTTAAGCATAAGCAAAATTAACAGAACATTGTTATCCCACGTTTACCAGCCTCATACTTAAATTGTGCATATAAAAGTCCACAGAGGTAAGGAGGCCAAATGGTGCCAGGCAGTATAGTGTTCTGCAAGGCAATCCCACATGAGAAGGTTCCTGGTTCAAATCTGGAGACCTCCCTGAGTCTGCTGGGCATGTACATATGTGTAATCAGGGCTGCATGAACGCTGAGGGTGGATCATGGCATCAAGATCTGTTGAGAGGTCTCTCTCTCTCTCTCCATGGAAGATATGACCAAATAAACTTAAAAAAAAAAAGAAAGAAAGAAAGAAAGAAAGAGAGAGAAGTCCAGAGAGCAGAAGTGTGTTTATGTGCCTGCCACTGCACTGCACATGACAGTCCTGTGCTCCTGTCCCTAACAGCCATGATGCTGCAGGTGCCTCGGAGCACACAGAGCCAGCAGCGACACCAGACCAGACGGTGTTCAATTATGACCCAGAGCGCACTGATTTATGGAAGTATGAACAGATCTACACAGCTGCATTTTCTTTTTAACAAAGTTGTCGCCTAAGAAAACAATGGCTGATTTTGTGCTTGCATTGGCTTTACTTTTCATTTTTCTTTTGATTACACACACACACACACACACACACACACACACATGCACACACGCACCCCATTCCAACCTCCTGCCACCACGGAACTCAAGCATTTTCCTATGTGCATTTCTACCTCCTCCATCAGAGGGTTTCCCAGCAATGGCAGAATGCCAAAAATTCTGAGTTTAATTTCATTCTTCATTCACTATTTGCACAGTCAGTAATTTTTAAAATTACATTTTAAGCAAGAGAAAAAGGGTAGCAAGTTTCTTATTTTTATTTATTTATTTTTCTAAACTTTTTAAAATATTTTTTAAATTTACATTCATTCACTGTACATCATTACAGCATACAAAATGAGATTTTTCCATCCAGAGTACACTGTATATTGTCTCAATCAAGCACATCAACATACATGTTATTGTCAACAAATAAGTTTCTATTTCTTGTCTCCTGTATGTTTTGTTTTTTCTCCCCCATCCTTGATTCCCTATCTCTTATCCTCTGCCATCTCCCACTCTCCTCCCCCACTGTCTCTGGTATCTGTTTGCTTTCTATACTGTTTTTCCCCCATATTTAAAAATTAGCAAGTTTAAACTTGTAAAGAGAACAATGTGAAAGATACTGAGAAAAATGTAAAAAAAAAAAATCACAATATTACCAAGGAATAAAACCAACACAGGGGGTCCATGGGACTCCCCACAAGGAACTAAACAGAAAGATGTGAGCATGACCCTATCCCAAGAGGGGACCATCGGCAAGTAGCCGCAGCCGATCTCCAAAGCAAAGGTTGTACGTACTACTTTTTAAAATACATGTGTTTATTAAACTGGAAATGCAAATAAACCTCAAGTTCCTTGTCTCTTTTGAAAGGTACCCTCATATGAAAGTAGCACACTTACTGCCAATTTTTCATATTTTGAAAAAAATCCCTGTCGTATGTTTTAAATGACAAGAATAACTTTGGCGGTTTATATACACACTGTGGAATATTACTCAGCTCTTAAAAGGAAGGGAATACTTCCATTTGTGATATGACCTACCTGATGAACCTGGAGAACATTCCGTTAAGTGAAATAAACCAGACACTAAGAAAAATGCTGTGTGATCTCACTTGCAAAGAATCTAAAAAATAAAACAAAAGCAGAGGGTAGGATAGGGGTCCCCAGGGGCAGGAAGGGGAGGAATGGGAGACGTATGTCAGAGGTATAAACTGGCAGCTCTGCAGGATGGGTTAGTGCAGAGACCTGAGGCACAGTAGGGGCTGTCGCTATAATATTTCACTCCGTATTGCTGAGAAGAGATTTTAGGTGCTAAAACAAGACAGAGGTAACTATGGGAAGTGCTGGACATGTTCATTTGTTTACCCTAGTAATCATCTTATTCATACATGTACATTAGAACATCACACTGTTCTTTTTTTCTTGGAGAGGTTTTTGCTATAGGGCGCATGCACTCACCAGAAAGAGAGAGAGAGACAGAAAGCAAGAAATCACCCCCCCAGGGGGATGACCGCAATCCCTTCTCCTCCATTTGCCTCTTGGGATCTTGGGCACGCACTCACACACGCCCAGCGTGAGTTTAAGCTAGTAGGTCCAGGACTCGACCTACAGTCGACTACATGGGAGTCCAGTGACATAGCCATTACGCCAACTGCTAGTCCCATATTGTTCATCTTAAATATTGGGTCATTGGTAAAGTCATGATGCATTTTTGCATAGAAAAATACATCATATTTTTCTGATGATTCGATATATATGATGAAAAATACATTAAAACAAGATCAGTTTTTTAAGAACTATTTATTTTATTTTATTTGCTATTATTATTTATATTTTAATATGACCAGACAGAGACAGAGAGAAAAGGGAAAGTGAGAAAGCAAGCTGCCAGGCCTGGGACTCAAACCATGCTTGGCTATGGGGGGAGTCCAGCACCCTAACCACCACACCACCCGCCAGCCCCAGAAGATAATTTTACCCGAGACTAGTATAATTCACTCTATTTGTTAGGTATCTAAGTGCCTGAACAAATTACTTGATCTCTTGGCACCTCGTTATTTTTTATCATATTTTAAATAGGAAGACATTAATAACAACATCCACCTTCTAGGACTACTAGAAAGTTAAAAGAGTAAGAAGTGTGCAATACGGTCAGTTTGGGTAAATAAGAGTCAGCAGAAGTACACGCAGCAGCAGCAGCACCGGAGGAGGAGGAGTAAGGAGCAAGTCCACAGCTAAGGCAGTACCCACAGTGGCGTCCCAGTAGCAGTAGCTGATGAAGTCCACAGCAGCAGTCGCGGAAGCCGCGACAAAGCTCTGTGTTGTAACACTGGCCAGATCTGTGCTAGGTCAAGGAGAGTCTGTGAAATTGTCCACGTCTTCACTCAGCACCGCTGTGGTGCAGAAGATCTGCCCTCTCGTGCTTTAGAGTCTGAGGGTAGCCTGCGTCTTTGCCTGGAACTTAGGGGAAAGCACAGACAATATAAATACTAGGTTACATATTTTGGGTTTGCCTGAGAAAAGCCAAGCAACACCCCGAGGGCTCTCCTGCTAGTAACAATGCCAGGGGAAATGCACTCTGAGGGCCCTAGGAACAAACTCGCCTACCTAGAAGGCTGAACTAGTGCAAAGCCCTGCTGCCCAGCTAAGCTGACTCCCCGCTAAGACCCCAAAAGGACAAGGCAATTGGTCTCTGATCACCTGCTTCTGACGGGACTTCATTACTTTTCTTGATGGAGGAAATGAGTGGGCACAAGAAGTTTAAAAACATATGCAAAAACCATGATGTACCCTGCAAAAATGGCTTGTAAAGCTGTGAATGTTTTTACTGCCCACATACAGAAATGAAGTTTGCGAGCAGATGAAGAGAGCTGACTGTAACAACCTAGGAGTTGTTGGAGGCTTTTGGTTCTTTCGTAGAGCAGTATAAAAACAGGTGGAAGGTGAGAGGTAGCCTGTAGTCCTTAGCTGAAAGAAAACCAAATGTAAAATACTGTGACCTGGGGACAACAGATGGCAGGATGGTTATGTCACTGGACTCTCATGTAGTCAACAGTGGTTCAAGTCCCAGACCCGGTAGCTTAAAACACACTGGGCAAGTGTGCATGCATGCCCAAGGTCTCAAGAGGAAAATGGAGGAGAAGGAATTAAGGCATGGCCATGCATTTCTTGTTTCTGTCTCTCTGTCTCTGTCTCTCTGGGGAGCACCTATACCAAAAATCTCTCTAAAAATACAAAAAAATAAAATACTGCGACCTGCCGATTCAAGCCACTTAATATTTTACTTGAATATTATGTTGCTTTGTTTTAGTACCTGGATATGAAGTGTTTGCCTCTTCATTTTTTAATAGGCTCTGGGAATACGGCTGTGTCACGTCCCATTGCTGCCAGCACGCCTGAAGGGAGCAATTACGGAGCCATAGGTACTTCCTACACGGAGCTCATGTGTGAGGTGTTTCCTGATTCTCCAGGAAATGGGATACAGAGTCCCTTCAACCAGTAATAACTGTGAGCAAGGCAGTCATCCTGCGAGATCGTTTTTTTATGTAAGATGGATAGGTTGGATGATCTAGAAACTTCCTTCCAGCTCTTTCTCCAGCTCTGTTGTTCTGTTTCTGGCTTCCATGAGCCAGCCACACTCGAGCAGAATTTCCTACAATGGTTTCCATCCCTTACCAAGGCCCCTAGGGACTTTTAAATACCCAGCCTGAGTTTACGGCATGAAAGATGTGTCACAGGGCACCTGATGTCTGTCTATTGACTGGTTGTTTTATTCTCAGGTTTCAGTGGAGTAAGGGTGATGAGAAGATTAAGGCAATGTTGCAGGTGAACGGGCTGAAGCCTCCCAGTCCTTCGCTTTGGCTAATTCCGTAACCGAACCTGCTCACTGCCACCCAGTCGTTCCCACAGCAACCCCAGCATTCATTGCGTGGCCTGAAAGGAACAGAATCCCTACTCCTGGCTTCTCAGGGTGGGAGCGTGTTAGGCCATCTGCCCTTCCATGCTTGTGGGCCGATAAAGGGTGCTCCTTAAAATGTCCGTGCAGGGCCTGGGATCCTGTACTCTGACCAGTTTCCATAACGTTGAGAAGCATGTGGGCTCCATGCAGGCTACTTATTTTTAATCCTGTAAGAACAGGATTTTTAAAACCCTCTGAACCAAAGAAACAAAGCAGAAAGTAGGCTGGACTCGTGTGCTCATCGAGCTGCACAAACTCCATCTGCTCTGGGAAACATTCCTGGGAACAGAAGGATTCTTCTCCCTGAGAATGCTGTTCTCATTATGTAATCATAGACATGCATGTGGGGACTTCTGAGTCCGAGACATGCATAGCTGCTGGCTATGTGTGTGCTTACACATGTATGTGATAGATGCGATACCTAACTTGCGTGTGTATGTGCTTATGGATTTATGTTCATATTTTTAAATATGAAACATGAAATGCAAGCATGATGTTATTTTTGCCTCCAAATAGTCAACAGAGCAGATGCCCTTATTCTTTCATAGTATTCAGCCAGAGACAGAGAAGTTAAGTATAAAAATAGGAGAAGATGAAAAATGAAAGTCCACAGAGAAGGAATGGAGAAGAACATGTCTGTGGGTAGGCAGTTCTGAACACCATATTTCCTAGACTAAATCAGCACCATGCCTTTTGCAGAGAGGCTCTGGCTCCTAGGCTCTTCTTGGCTTTGGAAGGCAGATATGTTTTCTGTGTTTCAGATGAGTCAAGCTCCAGTCCTGGGAGGCAGGTGTCCTCCCCCGAGGGTGGGCAACCATGCCAATCCGACACAGACAGCTCCGTGGAGGAGAGCGACTTTGACACCATGCCGGAAATTGAGAGTGATAAAAACATCATCCGGACCAAGGTACCTACCTCAGGCTGGCCTACTCCTTGAGAGGGCAGAAGGATCAGCAGTAGAATAAACTTCAGCCATGCCTTTGCTTCCTTTAGGGAAAAAATCTATTCCCCAGAGAGCTTAGATAAAATATAATTGTGGACTAAAAGCAATAATCTATCAATTAGCAATTCTCTCAAGAAAGAAAGAGTATTAAGGGTCAGCAGAGGGTATGGTGGTTAAGGGTGCTGGGCTCCCACATGGCCAACCATGGTTCTAGTCCTGGACCTGGCAAGCTTACTTTCTCACATTCTCTCTCTCTCTCTGTCTGTCTCTGGTCCAATTAAAAAAATAAATAAAGTTAAAGAAAATAATTATTTTAAAATAAAGAAAGAGTATTAAAAAGAAGTGAGCTTGGGAGAAGCAGATGTTGTGGTGGTTAAGGTACTGGACTTCCACATGGCTGACTGCAGTTCGAATCTCAGACTCAGCAACTTGAAAATCCCACCAGGCTCATGTGTATGAGTGCCCAAAATCTGAAGAGGAGAATGGAGAAGAGGTGACAGTGTGGCCATGTCTCCAGGGGACAACTTCTTTCTCTCTCTCTCTCTCTCTCTCTCTCTCTCTCTCTCTTGCGAAAGTCCACAGAGAAGGAATGGAGAAGAACATGTCTGTGGGTAGGCAGTTCTGAACACCATATTTCCTAGACTAAATCAGCACCATGCCTTTTGCAGAGAGGCTCTGGCTCCTAGGCTCTTCTTGGCTTTGGAAGGCAGATATGTTTTCTGTGTTTCAGATGAGTCAAGCTCCAGTCCTGGGAGGCAGGTGTCCTCCCCCGAGGGTGGGCAACCATGCCAATCTGACACAGACAGCTCCGTGGAGGAGAGCGACTTTGACACCATGCCGGAAATTGAGAGTGATAAAAACATCATCCGGACCAAGGTACCTACCTCAGGCTGGCCTACTCCTTGAGAGGGCAGAAGGATCAGCAGTAGAATAAACTTCAGCCATGCCTTTGCTTCCTTTAGGGAAAAAATCTATTCCCCAGAGAGCTTAGATAAAATATAATTGTGGACTAAAAGCAATAATCTATCAATTAGCAATTCTCTCAAGAAAGAAAGAGTATTAAGGGTCAGCAGAGGGTATGGTGGTTAAGGGTGCTGGGCTCCCACATGGCCAACCATGGTTCTAGTCCTGGACCTGGCAAGCTTACTTTCTCACATTCTCTCTCTCTCTCTGTCTGTCTCTGGTCCAATTAAAAAAATAAATAAAGTTAAAGAAAATAATTATTTTAAAATAAAGAAAGAGTATTAAAAAGAAGTGAGCTTGGGAGAAGCAGATGTTGTGGTGGTTAAGGTACTGGACTTCCACATGGCTGACTGCAGTTCGAATCTCAGACTCAGCAACTTGAAAATCCCACCAGGCTCATGTGTATGAGTGCCCAAAATCTGAAGAGGAGAATGGAGAAGAGGTGACAGTGTGGCCATGTCTCCAGGGGACAACTTCTTTCTCTCTCTCTCTCTCTCTCTCTCTCTCTCTCTCTTGCAAGTGCTTGGAAAAAAAGAGAGAGAGAGAGAATATTAAAATAGGCTGAGGGTCTGAAGTGACTGGCTATTAAAAGATGAAGGGATCTAACCAGATGATAGAGATTCATTTGGAACCCGGAAAGCTTCCTGGTTCTGTACAGACCATCTCTCAGGAGTAAGGCCCGTGTTTTTCTGGTGTTAGTATCTGGTGTCACAGCCAATAAGAGATAAGAAGGCGAATTGCCTTAACCTTATGTAATTCAAGAATCACATAGTGGGGAACCAGCAGTTAGCATAATGGCTATGTCGCTGGACTCCCACGTAGTCGACCGCAGTTCACGTCCCGGACCTGGTGGCTTATAACTCACGCCGGGCGCGTGTGCATGCATGCCCAAGATCCCGAGAGGAGAATGGAGGAGAAGGGATTGTGGCGTGACCATCTCCCTGGGGGGTGATTTCTCGCTTTCTGTCTCTCTGTCTCTCTCTGTCTGTCTGGCGAGCACACGCGCCCTATAGTGAAAACCTCTCCAAAAAAAGAAAAAGAAAAAGAATCACATAGCTCTGAGGTCTGGGAAATCCATTCTTGAGATGGAAGAATTCAGCACTCCCAGTAGGATTCTCACATCAGCAATCCTTAATATTCTAGGGAAAATATTAGGATATTTTATTAAGGTATGTTAGGAAAAGCAAAATTAAAAGTCTTATTGAGTAATTGTAACCCCTAGTGAGAAATTAAATGGAAATTTGCAAAGACCTCCTTTGTATCTTATACAAGAAAAACCATGTACATTTTTGCGTTCTCTTTTTATCTGGCGGCCCAGATGTTCCTTTACCTATCAGATCTATCCAGGAAGGACCGAAGAATTGTCAGCAAAAAGTATAAGATTTATTTTTGGTAAGTAGATGACCCATAGGACCATGGTTCCCTTAAGTAAACTTAAAAGTCTCTTTGTAAAAGCCACAATCACTTACGTCACAAAGTTTGAGTCTTTCATGGGGCACGGGATGAGGCCACCAGCCAGTCGCAGGTAGATCCATGATGTCGTGCACATAGACACGGTCTCCCTTCCTGTCATGGCTGAGCTGCCTGCAAGGATTGCTCCCTCCCCTCAGAAAGCCCCAAGCTGACCGTTGTCCTTTGACAGCTCCTCCCATTCCTTCTTCCGAAGGATGCCCTCTAACTTGGATATCGACAATAGGAAAAAACAGGGGACAAGGGGCCTCATGGAATTTTGCAGTGGGACCATCATCTTGGAAATAAGATTTATCAAAGAGAGTCACCCCTTCGTGTGATCTCTCCCCCATTACTTTACTTTGATCACTTGAATCTAACAACATCCTAAAGAGATAGACCTTTGATAATGTGAAGAAGCAGATATCATTTATACTGCTCTACTAGAGCAGAAGCAGATATCATTTATACTGCTCTACTAATGGCTGTATGGACAGGAAGGGGAAAAAAACTCATATATTGGGTGCCAATCACTAACCTTGTCATCTTTCGGTTAGTATTTTCAGTGTTCTGCTCTGCCTCCAAACTAATAGCAGCCAAAAGGAGTTGTTCTTTACGTCCTTATCTCTCCTTTAGGTGAGACATTATGTACCAAATGGAAGAGAGAGGTGGGGAAGACTGGAGAACAGAAACCACCTAGTTAGCCTCAGACTAGTTTTACAAGTTAATTATGGAGTTATAGAATAGAAGCATTCTTTACAGAAAATTGAGCAAAGACCCAGCTGGGGCGGTACAGTGTGCAATACTGGAGCCACGTGGGAAGGTTCAGAGTTCAATCCTGGGTCAACAGTGCACCTGTGTCCTGGCTGGCTGGAAGGTTTGGGGGTGCACCGTAGCCTGGGAAGGTCCTGTTGGGGGTCCGTGTTTCACTCTCCCTCCCCCTCTACCTCTCTCTTTCAATAGATAAACTTAGAAAAGAAAAGGGAGAGGAAAGGAAAGGGAAAAGAAAGAAAAAAGAAAAGGAAAGCAGTTGAGCAGAGTCCCCACTCTTCATTTAGGAATAATGTCCAGTTCTTTCTGCCTGCTTAGGAACATCACCACCATCGCTGTGTTTTACGCACTGCCAGTCATCCAGCTGGTCATCACCTACCAGACAGTAAGTGCTCCCTAGCCCGCAGTCCCAGCTCCCGTCCTGCAGGGGGAGTCTTCGCTGTGACTTACAGAGGAGGCTATTATTGGCATCAGGTGAAGAATGGACTTCCCACTTGGGTTCCAGCCGGACTTCTTGCTTTGACCTTTCAGTCTAGTTTCCAACTATTTATTGTCTCATAGTCATTTGACCGTAATATCTACGAACTCCATCTGCTATTTACCAGCCTGAGCTTTCTCATCATCATGGGATAAGAAGGAGCGCAAATAAAGCCTCAGACCGACATGAAGAAACCTAATAGCTGATTTAGCCTGTGCCTTTTCGTTAAGGATAATATGTTTTGGAAAATTGAAAACAACTTTATAAAACTAACAAAATATTAAAATAAAAACAAAAATAATTTTTAAAAAACAAAAGAAAATAATATTAAAATCTTTTGAGAATCAACATTGTTTCTTTATAGGCCCGAGGGTCTAGGTCATGTAAGTGACCTCCTCTAGAATTTATCACACACAAGAAAGCCCATTAGAAGAGCACAAAGCTGAAGGTTTCTAATGCTGCTGCTCTTAAACTTGCCTAAAATCATCTGAGGATCTTTTTTAAAAAATCCCAGTGTCCTGGCTGTACTCCGTACCCATTTGAGAGTGGAACCAGGGATCAGTATTGTCTAAACCTGCAGCAATTCCAAAGGATGGCCAAGTTGGAGAACTAACGGCTTAATAATACTAGGCAATTCCACGCTTACTATGTAATGAAGGCAAGGCCGTCCTGATGTTTAAGCACCGCTGTTTGTAATGTAAATATGCTGTGCTTACACTGGGACCCTGTCAGAAGAGACAGCTGGGCTGTACTTTAGGAAGGTGTTTGATCGAGATGATGATAAATTGGAAAACTAAACACACATCTCATGTCTACCTGCCCCATGGTTATCATTTCCACCTTGAGGGTGGGACAACTCCAGAGATCCCAGCATTAATCTAGAAAATAGGACGTGGGGTGACAGTCCTAACATGTAAGTCCCCATGTTAGCTCCCTTTCACAATCCTTTTATTACAGTGACAAAGGAAACACACTAGAAGCTCCCTGGAGGCCCCATGATGAGATTCACAGATTTCCATTTAGAGCAAGCTGGTAACATCTCAGACAAGTGAGTCTGCTGAGAAGCAGCTGCAGATCCTAATCCCGCCTGCCGAGAAGGAGCATTGCTTCCAGCCAAACGCTCACTCGTCGCCCTGAGGCCTGCCTGCTCTTTGTGACTCCAGGCAGGGCTCGGAGGATGGAGAAGACGTGTAATTCCACTTCTTGATTTTACAGGTGGTCAATGTCACTGGCAACCAGGACATCTGTTACTACAACTTCCTCTGCGCTCACCCCCTGGGCGTCCTGAGGTAAACCCAGTCCTCTGCCTGAGAGGCAATTGGACATTTCTCTCTAATGTTGTGATTTCGGTTTTTAAAAATCCTAAAAACAACCACAGAAAACTACCACAGTCAAGGGTAAGAGTAATTAGTCCCAGATGAGAGCGGGTATACTTCTGTCACTGCTGTGTGAAACCTCGGGAAACAATCCCAAGAATGGCCTGTTCAGAGGAAGGCAGTGGTGTTTTTGGAAACACCAACTGGTGTTCTTATGATGGCATTCACTCATGGGTGAGAGCTGGCAGTCTGCTGTTTCCCTCAATCCAATCAACGCCTTATAAGACAGATGCTAGTACCGCCGATTTTAGAAGAAGACTCTTTGGCGTAGTCAGGTACAGACTTGCTGAAGGTTCCTCAGCTGCTCATGATGTCAGGACTCAACCCCAGGCCTGTGACCTCCAAGACCCTGCTCTAGCCACCAGAACTTGCTGACAAGGAAAGAACGCTAGGTTGGGAGTTGCGAGCCTAGTCTACACTCCAGAGCTGAACCAGCCTCGGTTTCCTGAAAAAACGTGGCTAGCTGTCATCGACCCCCACTTATACAGAAACTTACCATCAGAGACACATAGCATGCCTCTGTGAGAATTCCCTGTCACAACGCAGCTGGGACACTTACCTGTCTTTGGAGCAACTCTTTCCTCTTTCCCAGGGTTCACAGCGTGCCAGTGCCGTGAGGACAAGAGAGGATGGGGTGGGGGTAGGAAAGCTGAGCAGGCACCTGTAAGAGGTCACAGCCGTATTATCCTGAGCTAAGCACACACCCTCAAGTGCAGAGGTTAGCTTAAAGATGATCTCTGATGATTTTCTGATCGTGAAATCTTACGGGAAGGTTGGTGATAGAGAATACCCAGTGACAAGTCCTCTCGCTCATTCATGCTTCCGTTCATTCTCCGAATCCTTTGATTGCCTGATCCTCTTGTGGTGTCTCACTCATCCCTGTAGTGCCTTCAACAATATTCTCAGTAACCTGGGCCATGTGCTTCTGGGCTTCCTCTTCCTGCTGTGCTTCCTCTGCCTGCTGATAGTGCTGCGCCGAGATGTGCTCCATCGAAGAGCGCTGGAAGCTAAAGACATCTTTGCTATGGTGAGGAGGGAGTAGGGGAGTCGGATGTGGGAGCCAGGAAGAGTTGTGGTTCCAAACAAGACCTGCAAAGGGGAAAGACGGCTGGCTTGATTGTGTGATGAGGATGATGTGTGATAAACCGCCTGCCGCCAGACCCCTGGGCTTCCAGAGCCGGTAACTATGTTGTGAATCAGGATCTCAGGATCTTTCTATTAACCGCTCTCTCTCCTTTCTCAGGAGTATGGGATTCCCAAACACTTTGGTCTCTTCTATGCTATGGGCATTGCATTGATGATGGAAGGGGTACTCAGTGCATGTTACCACGTCTGCCCGAATTACTCCAACTTCCAATTCGGTAATTAAAGTTTATACCCAGATTTCAGTTATAGGAGTCTTATCCTAGGACCCTTTCAAAAATGCCAGGGCCATGCTTGGAAGAATATAATGGCATTTTAGTTGGTCATGGTGGTGCATATCTGGAATACTAACTCCTGGGGAGGCTGAAGCAGGAGGATCACAGTTCAAGGCCAGCCTGGCAACATGACGAAACTCTGTCTCAGAAAAAGTAAATAAATAAGATTTTATGTGAGCTCAAGTGATCAGAGAGCACCTCACAACAGACCCTGTTTTTCAATGTTGGACCACTTTTTCTCTCTGATAGCTTTTTTTGTTTGTTTTTAGAGAGGTTTTTGCTATAGGGTGCATGCACTCACCAGACAGACAGAGAGAGACAGAGAGACAGAAAGCGAGAAATCACCCCCCAGGGAGGATGGCCACACCACAATCCCTTCTCCTCCGTTCTCCTCTCGGGATCTTGGGCACACACGCACATGCGCCCGGCGTGAGTTTTAAGCCACCAGGTCCGGGACATGAACCACGGTCGACTACATAGGAATCCAGTGACATAGCCATTACGCTAACTGTTGGTCCCAGCTTTTTTTTTTTTTTTTATATAGTTTTGCTATCGGGCATGTGTGCTCACCAGAAAGAGAGAGACAGAGACAGATAGCGAGAAATCACCCCCCTGGGGGATGACCATGCCACAATCCCTTCTCCTCCATTCCCCTCTCAGGATCTTGGGCACGCATACATATGCACCCGGCATGAGTTTAAGTCACTGGGTCCAGGACTCGAACTACGGTCGACTACATGGGAGTTCAGCGACATAGCCATTATGCTAACTGCTGGTCCCTCTCTGATAGCTTTTCCAATTAGAAAACTTTCACACTAAATGATCACATGGCTAGGTCTGAAGGCAGGCTTTGGGCAGCAAGCCAGCGAGAACCCCACCAGCAGACTTCTAGAAAGGTTCTTCTATGTAACTTAGCATAATTAAGCAGTAACTCTGCTTCAGGATGAAAGCAATAGAAAAAAAAATCCAATTCATACTGGATTGAAAACTAAAGACATGTATCAGCTCACCGTTTGCAAGTCCAGAGGTAGAAAGTCGCCCATGGCTACTCATTTGGTGGCCCTGATCCATTTTTCTATGATCCTTTTGGCTATGCCCAACCTGTATGTTGGGTGTTTTTTTTTATTTTCTTTTTTTGGAGAGGTGGGTTTTTTTGTTGTTTTTTTGTTTTGTTTTGTTTTGTTTTTTGCTATAGGGTGCATGCGCTCGCCAGACAGACAGAGAGAGACAGAGAGACAGAAAGTAAGAAATCACCCCCCAGGGGGGATGGCCATGCCACAATCCCTTCTCCTCCATTCTCCTCTCGGGATCCTGGGTATGCACGCACACGTGCCCGGCTTGATTTTTAAGCCACCGGGTCCAGGACTCAAACCGCAGTTGACTACATGGGAGTCAAGGACATAGCCATTACGCTAACTGCTGGTCCCCTGTATGTTGGTTTTATCCTCAGGCTATCTTTCCTCATGATGACAAAGTAGTTAGAGCAGGTGCTGGTTATAGCAGGTCTCCACCCTACAGCTCCAGAGGAGATAACAAGCTGGCTTCTGGAAATCTCATTTAGAAGCAAAGAAACTTCTTTTGCAGAACTTCCAGACAATGTTCCCTTGCACTTCAACAGCTTGAACAGTCAGGATTCTATTCCTGAATCAATCCTTAAGTGCTGGTTGGCTCAGGCCTGGATGGCTACACCAATCAGCAAAGGAGGTGGGATTACTTTAGACCAATCACAACGTGGGTTTTTTTGTTGTTTTTTTGTTTTGTTTTGTTTTGTTTTTTGCTATAGGGTGCATGCGCTCGCCAGACAGACAGAGAGAGACAGAGAGACAGAAAGTAAGAAATCACCCCCCAGGGGGGATGGCCATGCCACAATCCCTTCTCCTCCATTCTCCTCTCGGGATCCTGGGTATGCACGCACACGTGCCCGGCTTGATTTTTAAGCCACCGGGTCCAGGACTCAAACCGCAGTTGACTACATGGGAGTCAAGGACATAGCCATTACGCTAACTGCTGGTCCCCTGTATGTTGGTTTTATCCTCAGGCTATCTTTCCTCATGATGACAAAGTAGTTAGAGCAGGTGCTGGTTATAGCAGGTCTCCACCCTACAGCTCCAGAGGAGATAACAAGCTGGCTTCTGGAAATCTCATTTAGAAGCAAAGAAACTTCTTTTGCAGAACTTCCAGACAATGTTCCCTTGCACTTCAACAGCTTGAACAGTCAGGATTCTATTCCTGAATCAATCCTTAAGTGCTGGTTGGCTCAGGCCTGGATGGCTACACCAATCAGCAAAGGAGGTGGGATTACTTTAGACCAATCACAACTATCCCTGAGGCCAAGAGTGGGGTTAGCTTTCTTGAAGCAAAGGGGCTCAAGTGTGCATTTCTGAGCTGAAAAGAGGGTACATATTGAGTTAGTATTGAGGTGCTGGAAAGGAGACAGGGAAGCGTTGATGCGGGTAGGCAATGAGACAGCAAGCTGTCTTTCAGAAATCTCATTTAAAAGCAAAGAAATTTCTTTTGAGAAACTCCCAGACAATGCCCCCTTGCAACTCAACAGCAATGAACAATGTCCCCCACACTGAAGCATACGGGTTTTTAAGACACATTTTCATGTTTGTGCTCTGGCTGTTAATTCATAACACCAGACATTCTGTCACACTTAATTTTTTAAATTGAAAACATTTTTTTAAAAAAAACTACAGAGCACAATTATCACTCACCACTCAGAATCAGTAAACATCAACATTTCTAAATATCTGCCTTAGACCTACTTCTAAAGAAAGAACATGTTGCCGTGAAGGTTAGACTTACTTTGAATGGCTTCCCAAACTTAATCCCCTCATTCCTCCCTCAGAGGCAACAACTATGATTAATTTGGTATTCATCCTTCTAGTCTGATTTTATATTTTTATTACATTTGTAGTAAACTACCATTAACTTATCATACTGGGTTCTACGACCTTTCTTTTTCATACAACAATACGTTTCAACATTTATCAACACTGCAAAATAAAGTATACTCTGGATGGAAAATCTCATTTTGTATGCTGTAATGATGTACAGTGAATGAATGCAAATAAATAAATTGAAAAAGAAAAAAAAACATTTATCAACATTGAATCAAGGGCTTATAGTTCATTTATTTTTAAGGTTGTCATATTCTATTAATAAAAATATATCGCATGGGACCAGCAGTTGGAGTAATGGCTATGTCACTGGACTCCGATATAGTCAACTGTGGTTCGAGTCCCAGACTTGGTGGCTCGAACTCATGCCAGGCACATGTGTATGTGTGCCCAAGATCCCAAGAGGAGAATGGAAAAGTAGGGATTGTGGCATGGCGATCCCCCCCAGGAGGGTGATTTCTCGCTTTCTGTCTCTGTCCCTTTCTGACTTTCTGGTGAGCACACACGCCCTATAGCAAAAACCTCTCAAAAAAAAAAGGAAAAAAAAATATATATGTATATATATCACATGTATCAGTTTCCCCATTAAACAACCTTCGATTGTTGCCAGTGTTCTGCGATTACAGACAGTACTGCGAGGATCTTTCTTTTATATGTCTTTTTGTGCACATGTGCGAGAGGGTCCCCAGGATACCTAGAAGTAGAATTTTTGAGTTATCAAGTTTGGGTATCTTCCAGTTTGCCAAAAACTGCCAAGCTTCTCTGCAGGGTATTAATTGCCACTCTGATTGAGTTTCCATTTCCTCACATCATTATTAACATGTGTTATTGTCAGACATATAATATTGTACTAAATTTTTGAATAATAAAGGGCATTGCATTCTTAATTTGCTTTTCCATAGTTCTAAGGCAGCTAAGCTACGTTTAGTCTTTAGCTATTTTCCATCAGTGGATATAAAGTGCATTGATCGGTGTGATTATGCGTCAGGATGCTGAGTACAACCTGCCACATCTATGTTATGTTATTGTCACACTGTGAAAGAAGAACTATTGGGTCATCAGAAAAGTCATGATGTATTTTTCTTTGTCTTTTTCTATACGAAAATGCCTCATGATTTTTCTAATATTGAATTTATCATATCAGATGTTTTTCTTCTGATGGAAAGGGGTTAGAGTGGGGTGAGTGGGGTCTTCCTGGAGGATGGGTCTAGGCTGCCATGGTGGAGGTCTCGCAGTGGGAGGGTGACTAATCCTCCATGGGCAGAAGTAAGGAGTACTCAGGGGCTGAAGGAAAGTCTAGAAGTATTTTCTGTCTGTTGCCTACTGAATCCTGACCATCTCGGCTTCTCCTCTGGGTCCTCAGACACCTCCTTCATGTACATGATCGCGGGTCTCTGCATGCTGAAGCTCTACCAGACCCGCCACCCGGACATCAACGCCAGCGCCTACTCAGCCTACGCGTCCTTCGCAGCGGTCATTACGCTCACCGTCCTCGGAGTGGTGCGTCCCTCTCCACCTGCTTTCAGTCTGGCTCTAGAAAAGTGCCTTCTTGGGAGGCTTTTCATTATTTATTTGTTGCTTGTTGAACACCGGGTGAACAGGTTTGGATGAACCATGACCCTCAGCCCAGGACTCACTCTCCTTATTGGGTCACCCAGGGCACACTTTGGCTTAATAATTCAGCTGGTTATGCACAATAATGTAAAATTATCCTGCATACTTTTAGCAGAAAGCCAGGGCCTGGCTTCTATGAGACTGGAGCAGAGCTGGACAAGCTGGCTGGAGACACCAACTTAAAGGAACAGAAACCACTTTCTAAAAGTGCCTAGGCAGCAAGCGCGGGCTGTTTTCAGGTGTTTATACAGCAGTAACTTCGACTCTGCTCCTTTGCCATTGTTGTTCAGCTGCTTCCCCTGTATCTTCCTTTTTCCATTTTCCTTTGACCAGGGGGACCATTATTTTACCTGCTTACCATGGAGTAAGAGCCTCATGAGTTTCAAGAAGGAGGAGAAAACACAAACACACACACACCTTTGCTTTGAGCTTCTTGTGCACACATGAGATACAGAATTATTTTAATAAGATCCCTAGAAAAACCCCCAAATGAAGGTAACTTCCATCTTTGCTTCTAGGTGTTTGGAAAAAATGATGTGTGGTTCTGGATCATCTTCTCTGTGATCCACATCCTGGCCTCGCTGGCCCTCAGCACTCAGATCTACTACATGGGTCGCTTCAAGATAGGTGAGTCCCCTGTAATTCTCTAACCCAGTCACCTGCCTTATCTTGGTGTTACCACCGTAAGCACGCGCTCCGAGTTCTGTGTTGTGTTTAATAGCATGTTTTCTCTCCAAGAGTTTCCTCTTTTTTATAGGATTGCAATAAACTGCTACAATTTGTTCTATTTTCAGCCAAGAAATAAACTTGCCATACCTCAGGACTGAGGCATACCATAAACACTTTACAATCCACCAAACTTGGAAAGTGCATGTGAAGAATGATAAGTAATCATAGTACTATTTCTACCTAGAAGATCATTTTGCAATTTGCAACATTTAAAAGGAGCTTTCCTTTTCCATTCTTTTATTCTTTCCTTTCTTTTTTAATTTGCCAGAGGGCATATGTGCTCACCAGGATGCGAGATAGAGAGACAGAGACAGACAGAGGGAGGAAAAATGAGAAAGCATCTCTCTACGGGCAATGGTCACACCACAGTCCCTTCTCTTCCATCTCTCCCCCCTTTCAGGACTTTGGGCATGCATGCACATGTATTTGGCGTGTTTCTTAAACCGCTGGATCCAAGACTCAAATGTGCTGTCAGTCATGTAGGACCTAACCACCTTAACCACCATGCCATGGGCTGACCCAGGAATATTTCTTTAATGATGCAAAATTGTTATCAAGAGTGAATATTATATATTATTTCCAGATTCTAGGTCTGGAATGTTTTGAGACCGACTTGCCAATCTTAGAAGCAGGACACCTGCTAAAAAAACCATGTGGGTTACCAGGGAGCACTGATGTTCTCCTGAAGGCAGCCCATGAGCTGCTATCAGTCAGCCATCAAACATTGGAACAGGTTGAAGTTGTTTTAGAGGATTTACATTTCACAAACCATATTAAGATCAGGAAGTCAGACTTAAATTTTTTGTGTGTATTTCGAGACAAATCCATTATATATAAACAGAGGCCCACCCCTAATATTTATAGAGCCCAGGGCAAGAGTACAAATAAAAGCCCACATGTCATATGGGTAATAAACAAAACAAACAAAAACCTCAAAGTTATAAAGCAGATTCAAAATCTATTAAGTATAAGAGAGAAAAATAAAGAGGAAAGGAAAGGAAATGAGAAGGAGAGAAAGACCAACAAACTGGAAAATAGAATAAACCTTCATTATGGCCTAGAAGGTCCCTGTTCACATTTAGAATTCTCAGCCCTCAGAAGAACACTAGGACACAGCTGTGTAGGAGAGCTAGTCCCATCCCTTTCCCTTCTTTCCTTCCCACCTCTGGCTCTCTCCGTATCTTAAGGGGTTTCACAGGAATGCATATGGACACCCTTGTCCAATAGCCAATATCAACCTACATCCCTACATAGAGACACTACCTGGCCATTCCTTCCCTCTGGAAGTCCACAGTAATGGAGCCACCTACCCTCAGGAAGATGGTACAGGAAGGAGGCTATGCTTAAGGCCATCTGGGAAGGGAATTTGGAGGTTCAGGCATTCAGATTGTGTCCTGAGGAGGATTAGTCCCCTTGCCCTGCATACTCCTCCTTAACACATGGGGGAATAAAGGTCTTCAAAAATGTAGGGTCCCTGTTGCCCAGGTCTAAGAGAAATTCTACATAAACAAGTAAATGGCTTTTGGGCTAGAAGACCCACTAAAACAATTTCTCATTTTCACTATTTAGTTTTCCCTTTGGACCTGGTCAGCAGATCTACTCATGGTATGAACATAGCTGATGTACCTCCAGATCCCTCACTCACATTAGCCAGTTGTGTAGAACATTTGATATGGCCCTCTGAGCACACAGAATTAACTTCCAAAAGGAAAATAATTTGGATCATTGTTCTAGTTTCCTCCAGAGTTAGAAAAATAAACTTGAAACAGATCTAGAAAAGACAACCATAGAATTTATCTAGAATCATAAAAGACCCCATATTGCCAAAGGAATGCTGTGCAAGAAGAGTGGAGTGGGTGGCATATCACTCCCTGACCCCAGGATATACTATAAAGCTGTTATAATCAAAACCCATTGTATTGGCATGAAAGTAGACAGGCAGACCAATGGAATAGAATAGAGACCTCAGAAATAAACCCCAAAGCTTACAGACAGCTGACTTTTGACAAAGAATAATAGTCAACCCACTGGGAAAAGGAAAATTCTTTAGGAAATAGTACTGGGGAAACTGGATATCCACCTACAGAAAGATGAAACTTAATCCCTATTTTTCACCACTAACAAAAATCAACTCAAAATGGATCAAAGATCTGAACCTAAGACCTCAAGCTATAAAACTACTGGTGGAAAATACTCGGGAAACTGGGAGACATTGGGGTAGGATAGACTTCTTAAATAAGATTATCAAAGCACAAGCAATAATCCCTAAAATAGACAAGTGGGACTATATCAGACTAGGAAGTTTCTGCACAGCAAAGGACACACTAATTAGTGTGAATTGACAACCCTCAAAATGGTATATTTTTGTAAAATATGCCTCAGACAAAGGACTGATAACCAAAATACACAGGGAACTCAAGTAGCTTACTCAAAACAAACAAACAAAAAAGATTAACCCAATTAAAAGATGGGAAAATGAGCTGAACGAAAATCTCTCTAAGGAAGACGTACAAACAACCAAAAAGCACATGAGATAATGCTCAACACCCCTCATCATAAGGGAAATACAGATTAAAACCATGAGATACCACCTAACCCTTTCAGAACGGCATAGATGAAAAGTACAAAAAGTGATAAGTGTTGGAGGGGATGTGGTGAAAGGGAAACTCTCCTGCACTGCTGGTGGGAATGTAAACTGGTTCAGCCACTGTGGAAAACAACCCGGAGGTTCCTCAAAGACCTACAAATAGAACTACCATTTGATCCAGCAATCTCACTTCTGGGTATCTGACCAAAGGACAGGAGAATGCTCAGTCAGAAAAGTGCTTGCACATCAATGTTTATTGCAGCATTATGCACGATCGCTAAGACATGAAACCAACCCAAATGTCCACAAACAGATGAATGGATGGAAAAAGTGTGACACATATACTATACGGAATATTATTCAGCCATAAAAACAATAAGACCCTAGCATTTGATAGAAAATGGTTGAATATGCAGGATCTATTGCTGAGTGAAACAAGCCAGATTATGAAAGAAAGATATTGGATGTATCCACTTAATGTATACCAACTATCCACGCTTTATGGTAGGGATCGAAATATCGGAGGGCATTAAAGCAGTGAAAACAGTTATGGATGCTGAAGACAGTGTGGAACGGGGTGGGAGAAGGGAAAAGTATAGAAAAGGATAGCAAGGGAACCAGCAGTTAGCATAATGGCTATGTCGCTGGACTCCCACGTAGTCGACCACGGTTCGTGTCCCGGACCCGGTGGCTTAAAACTCACTCTGGGCGCGTGTGCGTGCATGCCCAAGATCCCGAGAGGAGAATGGAGGAGAAGGGATTGCGGCGTGACCATCCCCCCTGGGGGGTGATTTCTCGCTTTCT